GAAGTATGTAGGGAGATATTTAGTAGGCCTAGGAAAGTTAATCTTGTTAACAGACTAAGAGAAATTCAGTATAAACTGATAAGAACACTTATTCAGATTCGGCTTTGTTGGAGATAACTTGTGCTCATTTTGTTAGCAAAAGATTGAAACATATTTACACTTGTTCTGGGAGTGTGTACATGTTCAAAGATTATGGCAGAATGTAATAGCTAAGTTTGAGCTTAGGGAATTAAGGTCTATCGACTGGACTGATATTCATTTAGGGTTGTCCGGTAATTCCCCACGAATAAAGATATTTAATACAAATATTTTTGCAATGAAATATTGGATATATAGATGCAGGGGAAAGTCCGTAATATTGTCTTTGGGGGAGTTTAAAAAAGAACTGTTGGAATTTAGTGAAGAAGAAAAGAATATTGCCGGGAGGGCAGGTAAACTGGCCTTACATTACAAAAGTGGGAACAAGTGAAGTTTTCATGAACTTTTAACACTGGGCTATTGTGGCTATTGTAGTCTCATTTAAATGATTTAAAAAAAAAAGTTTAAATAGATTGTTTCTGTTTGTATGTCGCTCCAATTTGAGGTATTCTGAGGAGGCTAAAATTGTGTGTGAGTGTGTGGTAAAAGTGTGGTCGGGTGGTGTGTGTGTGTCGCATGGTGGGGAGGGGGGGGGGGTAGTAGTCTGTTTGGTTGGATGGGGTTATTTGTTTTATGTTACAACTGATTTCATTTTTGTTTTAATCAATCGTACAATCTATGTGATGAAAATGTTTTGAATTCATGTCAAGGAAAAACAACTGTTTATTATTTCTAAGATTGATTTGTATTGTCTGGAATCAATAAAAAAAAAAAAACTATTGAAAAAAAAAGTGTCAAAATGTGTTAAATTATACACAGATGGGACTTAACAGTTATGGAAAGCCATTAGCATCTTTGAAAATATTTTGCAAAAGTTATTTTAAAAGGCATAAACGTTGATTCAAATCATTCGTATTTTCTATTATCAAAGAGATTTGATGTTCTTGATGTGGAATCTATGAAAAGTCAAAAATACTTGAATTTTTGCTTTTGAATATATTTTATTCTAAGCGTTCAAATGGCTCTTCATAACTTTAAAGTCCAACTTAGGTTATATAGATGTGATGTGGTCTAGTTTATAAGTCTCCAGTCTGTGAATCACAAGCTACGGGGTTCGAATCCCTCTCACTGCACTAATGTTCTTTGGCAAGGCATAAATCTACCTTTGCCACACTCTACCCAGGTGAGGTGAATGGGTATTCGCCAGGGAAATTCCTTAAAATCCTGGCGCGCCGTAATATAAGGCCTAAAAAAAGATGTTGTATTGCCCTTTGCGACCGACCCACACATCTTAGAATCTACGGTCGGCTTAATTTAATGGCAGCCGTGCCGAAGGCCGGAGTGATAATGACGGAGCGTCAGGAGTGGTAATGTGTTAGACACGAGAGCTATAATTATACATGACTCCATGAGAAGGATTAAATAACAAGGTTGACGGATATCATTGATTTTTAAGCTGCTAATTAATTCCATACAACGACATTTTGTGTGTGTGCACACGTACCTCTAATAAAGACGTGATTTATCATCATCAATATGTAACGATGCCAAATTAAACAAAAAGTAAAACACCAGGGGTTGTGCCGTAACCTTATCTTGATTTTTGTGTGTTTTGTGTTAGAAAGTAAAACATTTCACAAAAACGGGTCATAAAAATAAGATAAAATTTTGTGTACATTTTGTACCAATTTTAAAGGCAAAAAGGGCCTTACTTTGTTGAAAATGTTCTTGGAGTCAGCAAGTAGGAGATCTTTTTTTTCTCCGCAAACGATTAAGTGTGATATTTTCGAAGATGAAATTACGCCACCAGGATACTATATATATATATATATATATATATATCAATTAAAATATTTGCATCCCATTCTGGAACCTATAATATACACGCTACTGATCTACTTTATGTTTGAAGAAGAAAAATTAATAAATATAGTCTGATCTGAAACACTCAAGAATCAAACAATTCAATGTCAAATAAGTGAGAAAAAATTATTGATATGTTGTAAGTTCTAGCAAATATTCCATCGTTAACCCTTGATAAATATTGTTTGTGTTTTGTATATGTGTGTAAATACGTATAACATGTAAATATAATGAAAATGAATAAATCCTCATGGAAGAGGCAAAGAAAAAAAAAATATACAAGCTCTGGTTCTTAATAGGTTCCCCATATTTTATGATATTACTCTATGTTACATTTCTACAATTGTTTTATCATGCATTCTCTTGTTAAAGTGGAACAATAAAACAAACAAACAAGAAAGCCTATAAATAAATATTAGAAATTTAAAAAAACAAAAAATGTTGATACTGATACATACGAAGGTGTCTCATTCGATCATGCACACAAATTGAATAAGCAAATGATTTTCACGTACTGCCAGTGAAAACGTGACACTGCATTTAACACAGGCTAAAATTAAAGGATGTAACTTTCATTCGGATTAAGTTTTATGACATTCCGTGAAAAGAATTTTTACAACCATGTTATGAAATTTATAAAAGGTTTTTGGAGAATTTTAATGATACATGAAGTACATGCAACACTATAGCAGAGAGCTTAAAAAGCATAACAAAATTATAAAAGCACAAAAAGTAACATCACAAAGCAAAAGAGAACTTAAAGGAAAAAAACCCAAAGAGATCACTAGAATTAAAACTATTCCTATTGGAGTACATCATGCGTTCCAAGCATAACAATATATATTTATATATATATATATGCTTTTTTGCAAAGAAAGTGACCATTAAAGTCTTTTTATTTGGCAACACACAGGGAATTACATAAAGTCACAATTGTTTTATTTCAACTACAAACAGCAAACAGCTGACCCAAGACTGACTCATTAAATTATGTGTAATCATAAGCCTGACCAAAAGAATACTAGACGTACCGTCATGGCCTAGCGTGGATTTATCACGCAAATAAAGTTAACAAATATTGTAAATAACGTATTGTACAAACCCAATTTTCCCTTTAATTACTAGACAAAGATAAATTCATGATATTTCGAAGTTGACTTTATCTATGCACGAGTGGAGGATCCAAAGTGCATCAAAACTCATTTTTGTGTGATTCCCCCCTTCTTTTCTTGCCCAGTTGAAAGATAATACTTTGAAGAATACCTCAGTAAAATATTTAATTCCGGTATGCACGATAAGGGTATACATTTCAAACAACAAGATCTCACATATTAACAGTTTTAGTTGCAAAAGTGACTTATTTTATAAATCTTTCAAATTAACTTATTGATATGAAATTTCTCTCACATATTCCTGATAGTTAATTTAGCTGCATGAATGAGTTAAAAATGGATAGAAACACAATCTTCAAATTACATTATAGGGTAATTCACTGAGAAATGGACTAATTAGCCATGTTTTTTTTTTATAAATCCAGAGAAAATGTTTGGATTTCCAGGTATTTCCGATTTAATTTTATTACCAACATTTTTTCTGATGTCTAAGCTTTAAGTTGATATCAGATTTGGTTGCCCGATTCTGCCCGTTATTTTGTTAGAGCCGATTTTTCTTGCATAAATAAATAGATAAAAAACATCGCCCCGAAAATGTGTTTGTTTTGGTCCGCGGCTGAATCATGAAGAATTCGCAGCGAAATTACGGCGCGTGACACTAATCTTGTTCTGACACTGCAGACCAAATTAAGGGTAATACAAAGTTTGGTATGGAGTCATGAATTTGGTTTAAATGAACATATTGGAAGCATATGCGATCCTACAATATTCAGTGATCGTTGTCGCGGTTGAAAATCGAGTCTAAAGTTATGAAATTGTAAAAAATAAACTCTTTATGTTGTATAGCTCCCTCTCAAGGTCAAGATATTAATTAAGGTACGAAACAATGTTTCTTGACTAAAATTGACCGATTTAAGCTATTTCCGTTCGGAAATTATATATCACAACTACATATTCTGGGATTTTCATGGTCGCAGCTACATGTACCATTGTACGGCCGTATGCGCTATTTGAAATTTATCAAAATTTACCGGAAGCACCGGTAAATTTTAATATTCATTTTTCTCGAAAGCAGAAGTGTTTTAGGGGCTAAATTTTCTAGTGCTTATAATAAATCCATAGGGGCATCCAAATATATCAAAATTGTGAAGAATCACTATCCACCCAAATTTCAAAATTTCCCAAAACTTTGTGTTACCTTTAAACACATTTTTCGGGGCAATGTGGCAAGGAAAATCGGCTATAACATAAAACAGGCAGATGCTGGCTTATTGCCGACTAGATCATTTTAAAAGCTGAATTCGTAGTGAAGATGCAATTCGCTTCGTAGAATTTACTTTAAAAAAGCGATAATAGCGACGAATTGTACTCACGTATTATCTTAAGTAATATAAATATCTGTTCTTAAAGGTACTATGTCCCTTTTGCAGCCAACCTCAAATGCTGTAGAACTTTGCAGGAATTGTGAATATGTCATGTATGTCCTATCTGTGAAATTTAAACGTTAGCAGTGTCCTCATATTCAAATTATACAAGGAAACCCGTTTACTTGCTAAACTTCACTGTCAGACACTATTGAGTGACTGACTGGCTTTTTTTCTTCTTTGGTAATAACATACATGAAAAGAGTTGTAAAGGGTACATGAGCATTTGTCTACATCAATAACCCACTTCTTGTGATGGCCAAGATTAAACTGATTGAATCTTTGCGCAGCATAAAACGTATGACCATTCGGTACAATTGCCTGAAAATCAAGACTATTATTTTATTTTTATAATTAGTATTATCTTTCAAATGCAGTTGGAATTTAACTTTTTCATTTTTTGGGCCTGCAAATGGGACATAGTACCTTTAAAGTCCCATTTTCCATCTTTCATTCTCCTTTCCTAACTTCGATCGTTTGCTCTTTGTTGGACAATATCATTTACCCTGTTTCCGAGTGAAATTAACCATCAACTCTCTGGAAGTATCCTGGTGAAATTTGGTTCGTATCCCAGGAGTTGCAGGACATCCAGGCACTCCTTTACGATTTGTCTCTGTTCCATAACTGTCAAGTTCTTCATCCACTTATTGGCTGTTTTTTGCGCATCCTTTGAAGTTGAATATAAAGATTTGTCACTGGAGTTTGAATGCGTCATGTCGTGGACAAACTTCTTGAGTTCTGGTTTGAATGGCATCCCGATAAAGTTGTAAATCTTTTTAGCCTCTGTCAAAGGGGCTTTGGCGAAATCCTCGTAAATAACAAGATGGTATCGTCCTTGTAACCATGGCGGAAAGGCGTCGGACGATGACTTCGTGTTCTCCCTGATCCACTGGCACAACCCTCGAACTGTAGGGTTGTTATCGTTCATCTCTTGAATGGGGAGCATGTACTCTGGAATATCATCAAGAAGACCAAGCGGTTTAAGGCGGCCCAAGTTCGGGAAGAGAGGCCGTGCATTAGCCACATGTTGTGAATAATGGAAGTTCAGGTAGTTTATTCTGGACTGGGTAGCTCCACGGGGATCACGAACAAGGTGGATAATTTTGAGATTGATACCGTCCTCAACCACCAGCGGTTTCAGAAGGTCTAGATCGGCGTGGATGATCTTCGTGGCAAGTCTACCTTTGAATTCTTTACAAAAGTTCCCGAGAGCGCTTGCTGAGTGCATTCTGCAAGATGTACTGTTCAAACAGAGTCCTCTGTTCTTGCTAGAACCAAACCAATGATGTAAAATCTCAACAAAGTCCGTTTTGAAATCGCACTTGGCGAAACCGCGAAGTATATCTCTGGCCATTTCTTTACTTTCCGGAGTGTTCTGCGTTACATTCTTTAATTTCCGTAATTTTGTAGTTGGCCAGAGTGATTCGAAGATGTAGAAGAGCTCTGGATTCTGGTTGAAAAGCTCTCCAAGTGCAGTTGATCCGAAACGCCATTGCGCCATGAGAATAATAAACGGAGGGGACTCATCGACTTTTGCAGATTCCCTAACATCATTTGTGCCCGCAATTGATTCAGAGACTGGGTTTTCTTTCACGGTGGATAAGTTTGTCCAATAATTTAATGTTATCCCGGATAAAATACAAACAGACAATGCCAAGACTGCCAAAGAAAAGCATCCACCATGTCTTTTATAAGGCAACACTGGGGTAAGTTGACGGGAAAACATTCGCATGATCTGAAAAGCCATTTTAAAATGCTTCAGCACAAAAATGCCCAATTGGTACAATGCCGAGCTTGGTCGCATCTGTTAAATAACAATTGAAAAATAATCGTTTCACCGATCACATATGGTAACTAATGTTCCTGTTCAAGAAAGATTGATCTAATCGTCAGCAAAATCGATATTGATTAGTTCCATGCACAGCCGGTATTTTGATATCCACGAATTAGAGCGATCATATTCAGATGTGTCACTGTAACCAGTGTAATTAACCGCCGTGATTCCGTTAACATGTGAAGAAAAAAACCATATCAAAACGTTTGGAGCTAAAATAATGGGCCCTAGCTATTGGAATTGGAGAAAATGCATCAGTCATGCTCTGTGCACACAAGAGATCCTGTATCTATGTGCAGCCGGTATCGTTCCACCGATCCCGAAGTGGGAGGGGGGGGGCATGATATAGGCGACACAGTTCTTAAACTGAGATATCTCACAAAAAAAAATTGCTCGGCAAAGATGGACGAGGGGGGTTACATTGACCAGTCAAAACGAGTCTTATATGGTTGGAAAGATATAACATTACAAAGAAAAAAGATTTTCTCAACTATACAAAATTAGAAGAGGGCGGTAAGCCAAATTGTGACATGGTAATAAATAAAGCTCTGTCGCCCGGCCCGTTGATTTTACACAAAAAACGTGCTGAAATTAAATGTTTTTTTTGACTACTTTAACAAATAAAACACAATAGTAAATCATAATGAAATCGTAATTTCTTTGCTTTACTAGAAATAGCATAGTCTTTGTCGTATTATACTACTCAATTTAGGCAAAATATGTGGTACTTTCAGCAGAATGGAGATGGATGTAAAAAACAATCAATCACGTAATTATCTATAGAACATGTCTTGGGTTTAACTGAATTATATATATGAATATGGTAAAATAAGGAAAATACTCTCCTTCAGTTTATCGCCCCCCCCCCCCATATGAAGCGTTTTTACAGGGATCGACTGCAGAGGGATGAGGAGGGGGGGGGGGCGTAATCAAGTGGGGTTGGTAGTAAAAAGTGGTCATGCTGACATCTCCAGGAAAGGGACAGCCAAGTCTCCAGGTACCCGTACTCTTACCGCAACTGATATATTCTTTAAAAGCAGCTTATACTGATTTTTTTAGAGAATTAAGAACGCGAACGGAAACGACAGTCGTCAATGCAAAAAAAGTAGAAGAAGAAGAAGATGAAGTATAAAATGAAGTAGTCGAAGAAGATGGAAGAAAAAAAGACTTTTATCATATCATATAAGTATCACCTTATATTACATAATTATTTCAGAAAGTGACTTTTGCCACTGAGATAGCGATATATATCAAATATATATTAGATTAGCAATATCTATTTTTCCATTCATTTAAACTGTCATCAACTTGGTTTTCACCTTTTCACTCTCACACTTGTCAACTCCATACAATGGTTAACTTTTATCATTTGAATTGAAGCCATTAAAAAATAGAGAAAACAATTAAGTCAATCAACTAATTACATGAATATAGTAACCATCGGTGTAATTTTATTAGCTAAAATACAAAATCATATCCATATCAAATTTAATGTTTGTAACCATTGAATTGGTATTCAAATACAGACTTTTATCATAACATATAAGTATCACATTATATTACGTAATTATTTCAGAAAGTGGCCTTTGCCACTGAGAGAGCGAGCGATGAAATGATTTTCGTCACGAGTGAATATTTGTATTAAATATGTTGAGTCTCCTGCGCCAGGGAGGCGAAAACCGAACTGAATCACTGTAACCCTAGGGTCTCTCCTCCCTGTATAGCTGATTTGGGGTGTGGAGGTGGACCACTACACTGGGGTTAATTTTCCCCCTACACTGATTTAATTTTTACAAAATTTATTTCCACATACGGGCGGAACACCCTAGTCCGCTCAGCTGTTTTAAAATACAAAAGCATTATAATTATGAATAGTGCAGTGGATTGTTTACGTGCAAAGATGGTGATCGGCTCTCCTCTACACAGGATCTCAATTTAACATCCTATCCAGTGGACGGAGTGTTTTCCACTGTAACATAGCCTGTGTATATTATATAAAACAGGGGAGGGGGGATTTAACACCCAACGCAGGCTTCAGTCATCCGCCAGGGTTTGACTCGAACACAAGGGCCCGAATTCACAAAGGAGGTTTGTCGACATCGCAAAAACACGTCGAAACGCGTCATATGACGCACGTAAACCTAGGTTTGTCGACAACCCCCCCTTTGTGAATTTGGGCCAAGGCCTTTGGTTCGACAGACAGACGTTTTACTGACTGAGCCAACACACCTCCTCGTACTATACATGAAAAACTTACATCATAATTTGTACACTTTTAATACTGAGATGATTCTAACGGTCAATTTTTGTTGGATCAATCAGCCTTCCATGCATGACCATGGATCTCCTGTGTCATACAGTGCATGCAAATGATGTAGGTTCACTGAATTAAACTACCGACACACTATAAACAGAAAAGCAGAATACACATACATTCAACGGAGATGGAAAAATAAATGAAACAGAATGTAAAATGTTACAGCTGAAAGAGGAAGAAAGAGATAGAGGGATGGGAAGAGGAAGAATAAAGTTAGATAGACAGACAGATATATAGTGGGTATGGAGAGAGAGAGAGAGAGAGAGATGGGGAGAGAGAGAATAAAGTTAGATAGACAGATATGTAGTGGGTAGAGAGAGGGAGAGAGATGGGGAGAGAAAGAATAAAGTTAGATAGACAGATATGTAGTGGGTGTAGAGAGAGAGAAAGAGAGAGAGAGAGAGAGAGAGAGAGAGAGAGAGGGGGGGGGGGGGAGGAAGAGGGAGAGAGAGAGACAGGGGGAATTGGGAGAGAAAGAATAAAGTTAGATAGACAGACAGATATATAGTGGGTAAAGAGAGAGAGAGAGAGAGAGAGAGAGAGAGGAGGAAGAGAGAGAGAGAGAGGGGAATGGGGAGAGAAAGAATAAAGTTAGATAGACATAATTGTGGTAGAGAGAGAGAGAGAGAGAGAGAGAAGAAAAAAATGGGGAGAGAAATAATATAGTTAGATAGATAGACAGATATATAGTGGGTAAAGAGAGAGAGAGAGAGAGAGAGAGAGAGAGAGAGAGAGAGAGAGAGAGGGGGGGGGGGGGGGGGGGGGGGGGGGGGGGGTGGAGAAATAAACATAGATACAAAGATAGTGTTACAGAGTAAGATAGGAATTGGTTACTGGTATTTAGTTTATAGTGCAGGAAACTAAAACAGTAGAGGCACTTTCGATGTCATCAAGGGTCATCAAAACAGCATGTGGCAATTGTTTGTAATAAAAGCAATTGCTTAATCATTGGGAGGACATATCTTGATTTAGAAAAAGTCCAAGGGAATATGCCCCCTGCTCTGATTGTATGCACCAAGGAAGAATATTTTTACAAAGCAAACCACCTGCAAGTCTCGTAAAAAAAATCCCTACAATCAAACATCGACAAGTTTCGCACGAAGAAAAAGATCACCAAAGACATTTGCATTAGCTTTCCCCATTATACAAAATCCCCTTTGTATATACAAGTTCACATTGTACATGTACATCATTTCAAGTACCTTAATCTTGCTATTATTGATCAATACGCAAGCTGTTTACCATCAACATGATTTAAAACAAAAAGAGAGAAATACCATTTTTAATTTGAGACACAAGGGTCACAGATTTTGATTTTTTTAATAATAATTCTTTTCGCTCGATATTAAGTGTAAGATGTGTATAAAAGCAAATTTTACATGAACTTTGAACATTCATGTACTGGGGAGTGTTTCACAAAGACTAAGATTGACTTTAAGTTTAATGTAACTATGGCAGGCCTTTCATGCCACAAGTTTCTCTAACCATTACTTGCATTGGTTTCTCAAGGGACGTACAAACCGTGGCCACAGATCTACAGAATTTACATTTTTTTATAGTTCATTATTGAAGGAAAATGCATTATCTAAAGATCATGCTTGAGAGACCAATGGTGAGAGCAACCAGTGGCATGAATTGCAAGCCATAGTTAAGGCCACCTAAAGTCGGTCTTAGTCTTTGTGATACGACCCCCTGCTAACATAAATGAGACCATGTTGTAGTGTGACTCAATAGACTTATTTTCATTGTGCATTCAACAGTATGGTTGACTTCTTATACATGTATTACGATCGATTACCAGTGGAGCTAGCGAAATGTGATTATTTTGTAGGCGCCTTCAGTATCTCGGTACATGAAACTGAGTCAGTAAAGTGCTAATTAGTGGTATCATTAGAAAGGGCAATAGATCTCCTACATCATTTGTACAAAAAAAATTACAGTACCAGACATGGTGTAGAGCTGCAGGCATTTGAAATGTAATCACTAATCCTGCTTTGGTAAAATCAAGACACGACCAAAACCCCTTGGTACAGTCAACATCAACCACTATATACATATAACATCTGCATCGCATTAAATATTGAAACCTTAATCAAGATTTCAATTTATTTATTTTTTTCTAAATTGCACTCTTTTTCAGTCTCAGTCCAATTTTGGTTTCATAAGAAAATGTGTTGAATCAGTAGTAAACATCCTAATTTGTACAAAAATAATGATCCATACCAAATTGTTACCCACGAGAGCAGCATAATTCTGTAATGATTCCATATCATATAATTAGCTTTCTCCATAGATGACTTGAATTCTACTTTTTTGCATATTTACAATATTTCACTGACCTATTTTAATAACTGCATGATAAACTATTGCAACTTTTAGCCAGTTTCTTTAATAGGAATGCTGTTAAATTTCACAATTATCTTTCAGAAAGCAAAAAAATATTAGCATGGCCATTTTGCGTGCACATGGATGACACGCAAAATCGTGAAGTGTTCCATATTATTCCTTGATTCTATTAAAATAAATATGTGTTGACATCCAATTAGCTTTAATAATAATACAATCCATTGGATTACGAACAAAAACATGTGAATCAGCCTAGCCTGTATCATACGTCAATCGCAACAATGAAACCGACACAGGGCAGACGACAGACCGACCCAACAATTGGTCGGTTTGGATTCGGTGTGGAGTCGGTCTGGCGGTGTGACTCGGCTATTTACCTTGTGAGTCCAGAAAAAAACTTGACACCATTATGATTGCCTGTTGTTTTTTTCCCGATTCACAATGCAGTCCAAGACAAATAATGGCCCCGAGCATGTAGCAGCTTCAGAATATACTGTAGCCATATGAGAAACAGTTGTGGGCTATCTTGGCAAAAAGTGAGACCATTTAATAATAATAATAATAGCTAGTTCTTATATAGCGCTTTTCAGGACCGAAGGCCCTCTCAAAGCGGTTTACAGATTATATTATTGCCCACTCAAAGCGCTTTACGGATATATATATTATTACCCCGATCATCGGATTCAGGCTTACCCGCACACAATATATGCACATTCTCCACTCCCTGGGGAGCAATCCAGCCAGGCGTCATTTTACAAGTGCACACTTGCTAATCTAAGCACATTAGCTTTTGCATCCTACCGGGTACCAATTAACACTTAGGTGGAGAGTGGCAAATGTAGATCAATGTCTTGCCAAAGGACATTAGTGCCACGGTGGGACTTGAATCGCGGACCTTGAGATCCACAGTCCGGTGACATATCCACTCGCCCACGACACCTCTACAGGAGAGGAGAGCTAATCAATCACAAGTATTAGCATGACTGAATTGCGCTGAATCTTTGAAGAAGAAAGTTGGGATCTAGTCTGGGGATGGTGAAAAACAATATGTGAGCATTCTCATTTATACTGTAGAAGGATGTCATTGTAAATAAAGTCAAGTTTTGATCAATTTCTCATCATTTTGATGATTCCAAAACCTCACAGTATACGTCCATTTCTATGTGCTATATAACCAATCTCTAGGAAAGTTTCTTTTTTAATGCAATCGAATGTCCATATTACTCGACTTTATCTTTAAGTACAAAGAGGAGGTGTCATCATTACAGTCAAACCTGCTTTAGTGACCACCTGTCTACAAGGACCACATTTTTTGTTTACCTTGGGTGGTCACTGTAGACAGGTTTGACTGTATTATTATCAAATATTTACAAAATTATTTGATAGGAATGTTTGACATAAGTACATGCACTGAAGAGGTCATCATAACAATCTTGAGGTGTGACATTTGACAAAATATGAAATTGAGTTTTTTTTTAGAGAGAGATACAGTCACGTCCAGCATGTAGCCGACAGTTTACCTCACAACACCCTATCACTACACGGTGCCTACTGACACGTAATCCACGGGTCGAGTCATTCCTAAATCACATCGACCGGACCAACCTAAAACCTAATGCAAACCAAACAAAGAGGTGCAGTCAAACCTGCTTTAGTGACCACCTGTCTACAACAAGCACATTTTTTGTTTCCCTTGGGCGGTCGCTGTAGACAGGTTTGACTGTATTTTACTCCAAAACGCTAAAAATCTGTCAGGTAGGTTTAGAGTCGGTTTGGCGAATTGGGGCAGTGACTGAACAGGCCTTCAGACTACATGTACAAGAATTCATCATATCGCCATTTGAGAAGTAACCACCCTTTTCTATTGTGTAAGTTGTATAAAGAAACGTTGCATAGAGAAACGCTGTATAATAAAACATCATACGGCGAAACACATGTTTGAGCATAATTTCAAACAATTTCTATAAAGAATCAGTGTCGTGTTCTTGTCTGCATGTCATGTCATACAAAATCCTATAACTGGGCGGGGCTTATCGCGACCCACACCCCGGTTCTTAGCCAGCTGTCTTATCACCTGAACTCTTCACAACTAGTCTCTTCATACAATGTTTCTTCGTATGATGATGCCATCCAGTCTGTATAATCATTTTGTTATACATATACAGTCAAACCTGCTTTAGTGACCACCTGTCTACAAGGACCACATTTTTTCCCCCTTGAAAATGGTTTCTCATTGAAACATGTACTTAAGGAACATGTCTACAAAGACCACTTTTTGTGTTTCCCTTGGGCAGTTCGCTATAACAGGTTTGACTGTACAATGATTCTTTATACGACATACCTTTATACAAGTTTGTTATAAATTTCCTGTACTAAAAAAGACTATAAGGTACAACAGTGGAATGATCTGATATAGCAAGGTATCCGCTATAGCAAGGTAATTTTGCTGGTCCCAGCTCTTTATATTTTTTTGTTCTTTTAATAATAATAATAAAATTATTAGTTTTTATATAGCGCTTATTACAATCACTAAGCGCTTCTAAACTTGGAGATTACTACCCGGCTTTAGTTGTCCTGCAATAACGGCGCTCTAGCATTTCTAAGAATTAATTCCTGCCAGGTACCCATTAACATTACCTGAGTTGAGTGTGGCAAATCTAGATCAATGTCTTGCCAAAGGACATTAGTGCCGGGGCGGGTCTCGAACAGCGAACCTTATATTAACAAGATTCCTGTTATAACAAGGTAATTTCCACAGTCCCAAGGACGTCATTATAATGAGTTTCCGCTGTAGCTTAATGCTGGGTGACATTAACCTTTTAAAGGGATCCGGTAACTTTGTCTCAGATCCTTAAACAAAATCCTTGATTTAGCTCATGCTGCAATCATAATTATAAACCTTTAGGTCATTCAGGAATCCCATGAGTTTTACAAGCCGATCGCCTGTCTGATTATCAAGATATTTATGATTGAAAAAAAAAAAAAAAAAAATTTTGCGTTTGACTAACGGTTTTCATAACACTACAGTCTATTGGGGAAAAACGAGTATGGGAAAACCGGTCACTCAAAGATTTTACTTTTTTAAGGCACTTCTTGATCATTTTGAAGCGCAATTTTTTTCTTCTTCAATATAACACCATATCACAGACACTGATAACCCATAGGGCCGTGCATCACAGATATTTAGATGATGGCGAAGGAGGCTCTACGATTTCGTTGATGGGTCGACAGCTTACGGTTCGGTAGTACGTGATAGTAGACTGCTGACTCTGTGATAAGAGGCCGTACTGCAAAGTTGCCCTGAAAAAAGAGAGACGAAGGAATAAGGAGAATCTGTACAAACTTACAATGAAAGAGGTTTCATGGACAAGATGAAGGAGTGATAGTAAGAGAGAGACAGAGAGAGAGAAGGAGAGAGACAGAGAGAGAGTGAGAGAGACACAGAGAGAGTGAGAGAGACAGAGAGAGAGTGAGAGAGACAGAGAGAGAGTGAGAGAGACAGAGACCCCTCCCTCCTTAAAGGATTCGGGGGAGGGGGGGGGGGGGGGGGAACGGCATCATTGCAAGAGAGGAATGAGTGAGAGTAAATAAAGAGAATAAAATTCAATAAATCATACAAACTTATCATAGAGAATTATCACAGAAGGAGAAAGAGTGAGAAATAAAATGGCAGAAGAAATGAGAAATAATGAAAAAAACAGAAAAAACAAGAGGAAGAAAATACTTTTTAAAAGATAGTGAAAAGGTAACAAAAATAAAGAAGACATTAAATCTCTGTGGGTAAGAAAGAGAGAGATAGAAAGAAAAGAAAAAAAAAAATGGAGAGAAAGACAAAGGGAGAAAGAGAGGGTGAAGAAGAGATATTCAAGGGGAGAGAAAGAAAAATAAAAGGGAGAGAGAGAGAGAGAGAGAAAGAGAGGGACAGAGAGAGGAAAGGAGATACAGAGAGAGAAAGAGATGAAGGAGAGAAAAAAGACAATGAGAAAGTGGGAGAGAGAGAGAGAGATAGAAAGAAAGAGAGTGAGAATAAAAGAGTGGCATACTTACATGAACTGCATGTATATCAAATGGGTTATTGAGCTGTCCACACAATGGGCACTGAAAGAAAATGAAAGAGAATTTTTGTTTTCAATCATGCATGTATAACCCAATGCCAACGAGAGCCAGTTGGCTCCTGTATTAAGACTATGGGAATGAGAGAATCCTGGAGGGCATTTCACAAAAGCTTTTTTCAATGACAAATGACAAAAATTTGTGACAAATCTGCTGAAACCAATCAGAAGTAAGGATTTCAGTAGCTTATAACAAAAATTTTCATTTGTCACTGATGAAAAAGTTTTGTGAAACGCCCCCAGGAATCAACAGGTTGATACACCTTCAGATCTGCATTACCATTATTCAAAAAAAAAAAAAAAAAAGACAGATACGACTATGTTTCCTATACGCCTACGTCCTTAATTCATTTAAGGAAATGGATGAAATTTATTCTTGAAATATCATGAAAATATCAAATATCAACTACCAACTATGATCTCACAAAACCCAATCAGATCGTCTTCCTATGGTGATACTGTCACCAAGTTTGAAGTTCATATTCAAGTAGTTCTAGGGATATCGCGATAACGAGGCTATTACCTGTAGTTTCAAAAATTGACCTACATGTATATGACCTTTAACCTTTGACCTTCAAACCCTATAATCTTGTCAGATCATCTACCAATTATGGTACACGTTATCACCTAGTTTTAAATTCACACCTTAAGTGTTCTTGACATATCGCGATAACAAAGCAATACCTGTAACTTCAGAGGCTGGCCCCTGTGACCTTTGACCTACATATCCCACAATCTAATCAGATTGTCTTCCTATGGTGATACACACTGTCGCTATGTATGAAGTTCATACCTCAAGCGGTTCTTGAGATATCGTGTTTACGAGAAAGCGGAACAGACGTACGGATGGAGGGAGGACCTACAGACGGACGGACAACCCCAAAACGTAATGCCTCCGGTACCACCTTTGGTGGGTGGAGGCATACAAATCTCCAAAAAGAAATAAAAAATAATCTCTCCCTTAGCAATGAGACAGCCTGTAGACTAGCAGAAAGTAAATGTTCAAACACAGTGTCACATATCCCCTCACACCCGCTTCTAGCAGTGCCCCTAATAGATGGCAAACATCCTTGTCTTCATACTTAGTTTTGAAAAGGTAATCATGTTTTCTTTACAATCAGATTAAAGAGTGAATAAATTTGCCGCAGCAACACTTATCATGCTGTAGATGATTTTGCACTATCTTTTGAACAATAATGCTACTGGACACCCATAAAACATGTCAAAAAATGCAAAAATCATGGTATATGTTATTCTATTTAGTGCAGTAAATTGAACCATTCATGATTCAAAATTAAGTCTCTACAATGGCAAAGTGGTTTGCAGTAATACACCCATGTGCTAAATATTCAATAGGGTCTGCAAAATTACTCCAATCAGTTGGTGATGCATTGTGGAACGTAGCTGTCGATACATTGGGACATTGTGAGCAGCACATACATACATACATACATACATACATTTCTTACTTACCCCCCTTACCCCCCCCCCCCCCCCCACCAAAAAAAAGGTGCCCACTCAATGGCTGACTCGGCTGATGCCAGGCTCCGCCACCCTAATAATAAAGTATGGTATCACAAATTGGCTCAAAACTGATACTGATTCCTTCCATGAACATTGAAAACTAAATTAATGGTTTTGATCTCATTAGAGCTTTATTTGGAGGCTTACATATATATGAGCAAGCTCTATTTCATACACATACAGTGCTTCAGAAATGTTATTGGTTGGGTCTGTGAGCTTCAGAGAGAGATAAAAATAAACTTGTACTTCTGCCAATTTTAGTTTCATATTAAAGAAATGCTGAAACTTCTCATACACCTTCAGTTTAAAGTGGTAAAACACTTATAATTTATATTTAGAAAAGGAGAAAGAATATCTTCGTTTTCAATATCAGTAAGAAGTGTAGTAACAAAGCAATCCATGTGTAAAGGGCAATATAGGAACTCCATATAAAGCAATTAATTGATTTATAACCTCTCCATGTAATTCTAATGGTAAGAAGGACATTGGAATAAAGCTTGTTGAACATTTCAAGGTACAAGATACTTTGACGTTTCATATTGTATACAATTTTAGTGCAATGGGGGATTTTGGAAAAAAGAGTTATATCCTGATGACAATACTTACACCCAGGCACTGTCTGTCAAGATTACAGTCACATTTCCAGAAAGCTGTTAAAAGAAAAACAACAACAATTTAAAGATAAAGTTGAGTTCTGGTCATGCGACTGCATTGTGAAAGAAAAGGGGTGGAATGCAAGGTTCTGGAGTCATCACAATCATAACAAATTTGGCCCAGTCTTGGTAAAGTAACAAGCACTGTACACAGAAAGATGTATATGGGACTACACAAATGGTGTCAGGGCTACCAACCTTGATTTCCTTATCTTTCTATGCTCAAGACTCAGCCAGTAAACATTTTCTACCTGAATTGCTTGGCAAATGACATTTATTTGTAATCTTGAACATTCAGTGTAAATTTTGTTTGATTCTGTGAGAATTCATTTTCTTTTTTTTTACCAGAACTCAAGTTTATCTTTAAACAACAAGAAACAAAATTATACTGTTAACCATAGCATATTGAGATAGATAGTTGATCCAAATAGTTCCCTCCCAATATACAATCTCTATGTCAGGGAACGATTTTGGACTTCCAGTGACATAACTATCTCTCTAAGTAGCTTTGCTGTCGACTTAACAGTTGCTTTTCAACTTATTAAGAGAGTATTTAAACTCACAATTTCTTTTTTTTTACAGATGTAACATTTAAAGCTTGCATTTTGAATATGAAGAAAGTATTTGCAACTTTCATTTCCTCTCTTGAAAATGTTGAAGATAATATTGTAATATATTTTACCAACACGGAACTAATAACAGTCGAATGACATTCATGGGCTTTTAAAGTCCCTTCACATACGCAATGGTAAACAAATTTGATGAATCAGACATAAATATATATCCACAAATAATCAAACATATCATTTTCATATATAATAGCTAAACAATGATCATGATCATCAGGCCACAAAACTTTGGGGCAGAGAAATAAAAAAATAAAAAATGACAAAATGGATGTCCCTCCGCTTGACCTCAATTTACATGGTCGTGCATATTTTCATCATCCACTTGCTTTCTTGTTCTTTTCAATAAATGGTCAAATAAAGAAATAAAAAAGAAGAAGAAGATGAAGATGAGGAAGAAGAAGAAGAAGAAGATGAAGGAAAAAAAAAAAGAGAAGAAAGAAAGAAGAAGAAGAAGATGAAGAAGAAGAAAGAAGAAAAAGATGAAGAAGAAGAAGAGGAAGAAGAAGATGAAGGTGGAGGAGAAGCAAAAGAAGAAGAAGAAGAAAAGAAAAGACTTTACCAAATAATCGTGACGTCCAGTTATAGTGTTGTTCAGGATTGTAATGTTGGTCCCAATCGTCTGCTCACTCCAGCTGACTGTAATGGTCAAGGTCTGACCGTCCAGGGACGCAAAATTGTAGTTGTAGATATCAAACTGGCTCTGAAAAGAGAGATATACGAGATCTGCTAATTAGTGGCCGCACGAAAGTCATCATTGCTTTAACGCTTTCATTATTGTATATAGTTAAGACTACCCCAAAATCTTGATGTTGCAAATAATCCTTCTAGACAAATTTCTTCATGAAAAAAAAGAAAAGAAATTATATGGGGGCCTCAGACACACAAACCCTGGGATAAAAAAGTGTTAAACTTAAGCTTAACTTCATTGAATCAAAAGTAAAACAGGAGGCTCAAAGGACAAAGTTCCCTTCAACCCTACTTTAAAGGGACGGCCCTACGTGTTATCAGTGTCTGTGATATGGTGTTATATTGAAGCCCTAAAAAAAATGCGCTTTAAATGATAAAGAAGTGCCTTAAAGAAGTAAAAACCTTTGATTGCCATACTCGTTTTCCCTAATAGACTGTAGTGTTATGAAAACCGTTTGGCAAACGCAAAATTTGATTTAGATTTTCAATCATAAATATCTTGATAATCAGACAGGCGATCGGCTTGAAAAAGTCATGGGGTTCCTGACTTACCTAAAGGTTTATAATTAAAAAAACCTTTGATTGCCATACTTGTTTTTCCCAATAGACTGTAGTGTTATGAAAACCGTTAGGCAAACGCAAAAAAAAAAAAAAAAAGAAGATTTTCAATCATAAATATCTTGATAATCAGACAGGCGATCGGCTTGTAAAACTCATGGGATTCCTGAATGACCTAAAGGTTTATAATTATGATTGCAGCATGAGATAAATCAAGGATTTTGTTTAAGGATCTAAGACAAGGTTACCGGATCCCTTTAATAGCCTTCACCTGTATGAGCTATGTCATAGTAATCAGTGTCTGATTACAGCTGGAGAAGGAGAAGAAGGAGAAGGAGAAGGAGAAGAAGAAGAAGAAGACAAAGAAAAAGAAGAAGGAGAAGGAGAAGGAGAAGGAGAAGAGAAGAAGAAGAAGAAAAAGAAGAAGGAGAAGGAGAAGAAGAAGAAAAAGGAGAGGAAAAACAAGGACAATAAGAAAACAAAAGAAGAAGATGAAGTTCAAGAAGGAAAAGAAGAACAAAAGAAGAACAAATAATATAAAGAAGGAGTAGGAGGAGAAAAAGAAGAAGGAGGAAGAGGAGAAGGGGAAAGAGAAAGAGAACGAGAAGGCATGAGAAAAAAAATGTTAGTGTGGAGTTGGGCGGCTACACCTTCCCTTCATCTTTCCTTATAGCCCTTACCTCCAGGACCAACGTCATGGTTGGCACCGATTGGTTATAGCTGGTAAAGACTGTGTCGACCTTGCCCTTCTGCTCAAACAATATCGGTCTTGGCAAGAGAAAGGCTATCAGGACGCCTGCTATGAGGGCACAGATGAATATGGAGAGGAACACGTAGCGAACCCTGCATTTAATACAAATGAATGGATACGACAGAAAATATGACTACCGGTACTAAACTTATTAATGTGTTAAAATATTGATCATTCACTGGCACATACTAAAGCCTGTTTACTACTAATAATGAACATCATCATAATAATATGGTTATACAATAGTATCCAGGGTAGCCTCATCAGTATCAAAACTATCAATCCTGATGAATAGGAGTCATTGCAACACTAGGTGGTAGCACCGCCGCCGCCGCCGCCGCCGCCGCCACCGACGCCACCACCACCACCACAATCACCACTACTACTACTAACGAACATCATCATAACATTGTCTTGGTTATACAATAGTACCCAGGGTAGCCTCATCAGTATCAAAACTATCAATCCTGATGAATAGGATTCACTGTAACACTAGGTGGTAGTATACATGTACATGTCTAATATATCTAAAATGTTGACTTCAATGAAGAAGAGGGCCAGTGGGAGAGCGTTACTGATAACTTACGTTCTTCGAGGTTTCAATCTTGCATCGCTGTATGGAATCAAGGCTACAAGGTCATCTTCACGTCCTATTGACGGAGAGAGAGAGAGAGAGAGAGAGAGAGAGAGGGGGGAGGGAGAGAGAGAGAGGGGGGGGGGGAGACATAGAGAGGGAGAGAGAGAGGGAGAGAGAAAGAATGCTTATAAAGTACTCTTGAATCACCTGTAACACCCTAAATCATAAAAATTATACACTGAGGATCACAATACATATTTGGTATTGGAAGTCAAGCCTAATATCTGCTTAATATTTTTTTTAAAGCAAGAAAGAAAAAAAAATCTAGAAAGGTATGTGATCGACAAAAATTAAAATTTCTACAAGTAACATGTACTTGTTCACTTTTTTTTTTCTTTCTGCCAACCAAGGCCTCCAAATAATTGACTTAAGTCTCGTAGGGGGCGGTTTTAAATTTAGGGTAAAGTACTTAGCTAAAAGTTTGAATTGAATACCAAAATTGACTAAGTATTTTATTTAAGCCAAATACTAGGTAAAAAGCTTAAATTTTGTACTTAAGTATTGCATTGAATACGGGCCCAGGGGAGTGTTTCACAAAGACTCAGATCGACTGAACTATGGCAGGCCGTTAATGCCACTTTTTGCTGATTTTCGCTCTCACCATTTATTGGCATCGGTCTCTCAAGGGACGTAAAAATCATGGTCACAAATCTACAGAATTTACATTTGTTGATAATTTATTATCGAAGGAAAAATTATTATCTAAAGATCATAATGGTGATAGCAACCAGTGGCATGAATGGCCTGCCATAGTTAAGTGACTTAAAGTCGATCTTAGTCTTTGTGAAACAGTCTCCTGGCTCTGGTTAGTGTTGAACCCTCCCCATCCTACCTCTAGGTATCTTGCCCGTGCCCTGACAGGTGGGGCATGTAAACGTGTCGCTCAGCTCCTCATAGGTATAGTTTGGATGCACGGAACCATTTGACGTCTCCCCATTCTGCGGTCCCTTAACGTCCGGTCCCTTAAAGAGTGGAGCGGGGGTAGTTCCAGGAGTGGAGGGTGCCGCGGTGCCATAACTGGTATGTTGGCCGTATGCAGGAGGATCGGAATCCATTGTCTGTATAATCAAGGAATCAGACATCTACATCGAGCTATAGTTGAACAGTTCTGTCACAAAGAACACTCTTTAAACGCCTGCAAAAGAAGATTAGATAGATTCTACATGTCATATATATATATATATACAATCTTTATAAACTGATAATACATTTAAGTATTCAAATGATTTTATTTCTCATGCAAAACATAATACAATGGATACATGTAAGCATATTACAAAATATGTACAATGAAACGACACGCACACACACCATAATAACATACACAATGAATTAATAATAACAATAATATTCCGCTTTTATATAGCGCTTAATACTGGTCATTGGATTCAGTGCTTGCCGCACACAATGTGTGCACAATCTCTACTCCCTGGGGAGCATTCCAGCCACGCATTATTTGACGCTCAAAAACTTTTTGACCAACAATGACGGTCACATCCTACCGGGTACCCATTCAACACCTGGGTGGAGAGTAGCAAATGCAGGTTAATATCTTGATAGCCAGAGTCCCTATTCAGTGTAGAAGGAATCCTTTTAAAAGAGCACAGAAGAGCCCAAAAGAGCATTTAGATTGAGCATTTCTTCTCATTGAGCTGCAGCAGAACATGCCCTTAATCCTGGACATAATATTCAATGGGATGATGAAAAGTACTTCTGGGGCCTGTTTCATAAAACTTTTTATCTATAACAAATGCTAAAGTTCTATGACAAATTTGCTCTCAGCCAATAACATGCCATGATTTCAGTAGCTTATAACAGTAGCTTGTAACTTGTTACTGATATCAAGTTTTATGAAACGGGACCCTGGTCAAGAAAGGTGAAAAAATCCACTCAGATAAAAAGGATTAATCCTTCACTGACTACAGTAACTCTGGCTATTCATTGTCACATATTTTCACTCCAGTGACCTCAAGGCTACTAACTTTTAAGGTTGGTAGAAGCTTAAACTACATAAAACACACTCTCTCTTAAGGACAATTTTATCAAACATAAGGTTGTACCAGGAGTCTAAGGAGCAAAGCCCCCCCCCCCCCCCCCCCCCCCCCCCGTTCTTGAATGTTTAAAGGAGCTACACAAAGAAAATTCACTAACAATTTACAACTCATAATTAGAACAAATTACATATCAATGGAAAGATTTTCTCTTGAAAAACAAGAACAATTTGCTGAGAAATCATATAGATATCATGGAAAGGCGTAAAATGCAATTTTTCAAGACCCTCCTTAGACCCCCGAATGCCCCTGAACGTAAGTCAAACACACAAGCGTAGCGAGCTCTGAATTGTGACGTCACACACTGGACGAACAGCTCAGTGCCGTGTAGCAGTATGCAGCTAGCCAGCCATGTCCCGTATGTGACGTCACAAATATTGACACTCTACAAAGGACCGCTGAAGGCAGAAAATCTAGATCTCAAGACTAACATTTTTGAGAGTTGATTACTGCGGGCCCCAAACATAATTTGAAGAGAAGAGTTGTTGTATTTGATCGGCAAGGCTTCCCCTTTGCAATGATATGAGTTTTGCATCAATTCAAAACACTTTTGATTCTTTATGTGGCTACTTTAACAATAAAAAAGTTCAAAATAGCCATCATGAGCAATAGAAAATGTAATTTTCTTCTTTAGGAATGTTCTCTCTTTGTCTTTTTACAGAATATAATAATAATTCTCAGTTTTTATATAGCGCTTATTACAATCACTTAGCGCTTCCAAACTTGGAGATTATTACCCGGGCTTTAGCTGTGCTGCCATTACGGCTCTCTAGCATTTCAACAAATCAATTCCTGCCAGGTACCCATTTACATCCCCTGTCAATGTAAGTTTCAGTTTCATTCTCTATCTCTCTCTCTCCATCTTTCCTTTTTCTCTTTAACATTCTTTTCTCTTTCTTTTTGTTTGTCTTAAGTCGCTCTCTCTTTCCCCCGAAGTCATTTTTTTTTTAAGGCCAACACAAAAAGGAGGGCCATGGCCCATTCCCCCTTCCTCCCCTACTGATATTAGCCACTGATTTATAATTTCATGCAGGCAATATGCAAAGGATTCCATGGAATTGGTTTCCATTCTATCCAAAACATTGCAGACCTACAGTATATTACTCAGAGTTGTAAATTGTTTCCTTAGAACTCTCTGTTGTCTCCCACCTCTCCTTTTCTATTTTACATTCTTTTCTCTTTCTTTTCTCTTTCTTTTCTCTTTTTCCTTCCATCGCTCTTCCCCGACCCTTTATTTTTTAAGCCTGCCAAGGGGGTGGGTAGTGACCAGTTTGGCCCTAACCTGGATAAAAGAGATAATAATATTTTAGTATTTCTCACATTCTTTATGAATTTCTTTATCTTAATTACTTTTATTTCCATGACACTTTAAAAAATTAAGGATTTTCTTTTAAATAAGGAAAATGTAGATCATCCCACGACTTAATTTGTTTTTATCCCAGCCATTTAGCAATGCATTTGATTAGCTCAAAACTCAAAAGAAACCTATACATCATGCACTAGATCTAGTCATAAATATTTATGACAGCATGCATAGACTCTATATAGAGTAAAGGAGGGAGTAATCGACCATCTCCAGTTTTCGCCGATCCGTTGGATGCATGGTAAAATCCCTTTAAAATACATCGCATAATACATATCACATATCCCACACATACCATACCATGCCAGAGTCACTGAAGAACCACATTTGCAATGGAAAATATATCCTAAAATATCAAATTTTAGCGATGTAATTGGCGGTCTCGCTACCCGAATCTGAAAAATCAAGTATCTTACGCGTGTCTGTAAGAAATATGGGTACCATAAAATGAGCTTTATTTCAAGTATTTTTCAGATTTAGAACCCGATTTTGTGCTAGTCGCAAGCTCAAAAGTATCTCATCGCATGTATTTAATCAATGCAGCCGCACACCACAACGCACACACGATATCTCTGTCTAATTCAGATTCCAATATCCGATCACCGCAGTACTAGTTTTCGGCCAGGCGAGCTCCGGGAGCTCCAGGGAGCTCCGGCGTGGGATATCTGCTCCGCCTGCTAGTGCTATAGATCAGCGCGGAAACGCACGGCGCGTGCGCGCGCTTCCTATTGACTTTGTACATACGGGCGAAAACTGGTACGCTATGCCGAAAACTGACTCCGAAACAGTGAAAATTGAAATGAATATTGTCATGGCAATTCGTGATTTTTTTTCTGAGATTCTTGTTTTGTTTAAATAATAATAATATTTGCTTCATGATTTGAACAAAAAATGATAATAAATAGGAAGTAAAGGGTCCAAAAAATAGGATTTTGTCTTAAGTGGCCGAAAACCGACTCCTTTACTCTATACGTGCGCTACAAATGAACGTCCGAAGCTTAGCAAGTGCGTCTGAAGCTTGGCATGAAAAAAGGTTCGGCGGGTAAGTAAATAATTCTAATTTTCCATTTCCTTTACTAATTTTCTTTTCATGACATACATAAACAGTATTTGCACAATAATAGTATATTTGATCTTTCACTAATTAAAAAAAGAATTTAATGTTTTCCCCCGTTTTGTCTTAAGTGTCCGAAGTTTGGCGGTCTTTCTCTACTGCTATTTAGCCATTTTAGGTGTCATCAATTGTCACTAAAGTACCGATTTTGAGTGAAATCAGTTGAGTTTTGTACAGTGGTGTTTGAAATGTTGAAAATCAAAAGCACAGCTTTTACTACACAGCCAGGATAGTGATGCTCCTATGTGTGGATTATCTTGAAGAAGAAGAAGAAGAGTACTAACTTAGACGTGATACCGGAACCGCACACAAAAACAGACGACTGGGACTGTACAATACGAACCTACACTCGGCACTCACCCTATCGGCACTATTATTCAATAACGGTTAAGGTAATATAAAACCGGTTGAATGGCTCAAATAATTACCTGATATTTCCTCCTCTCAGAAGACAAATTTGAAATTATATTGGTGGAGGCTCTTCATATAACCTGATATTTCCTCATCACAGCACTTGTCTAAGTGTAGGGTGTCTGATCGCGCACCCGATGTTGTGTGCTAAAATTCTTCCCATAGAGATTACACGCATCCCTATGCAGCCTACGTGCATTGCGCGACCATGCAAAAAAAGTCAATTTTTTTTTTTCAAATCGAGATTCAAACCTTTATCAGTTGTGATCCTGAAGGTGATAATCAATGAATGAGGTGTCATATGAAAGAGCAGGTGAATTCCAATATTTCCAAAGGGGCGTAGCCCCCGAAATTCTAAAAATATCTTGGTCAAAACAGCAATTTAAACATTGTGTCCTGGCTAACTCTGAGGTTTGTCACTTTTGAGATATGACGCCCCGATCGATAAGTAGTCCCAGTCCTAAGGAACAATTCTATGTGATTATATTTTCGCTAGCCCCCAGGGATCACAACTGATAACAGTTTAAAAATACCCTTCTCGCTATTTGGTGGATCAGCTAATTAGGGGGCGTGCGCTCCGCTCAGTCCAAACCATGGTTACATCGCGTAACATCTCCGCGCACGAACGAAACCCCAAATTCAAGTGACTGAAATTATGGTTGGAAATTCCCTCGATAAACCCGGAAGTGAATACACGTTATAGTCAATGGCAATATCGCGGAGACAACGTGCGTTGTCTCCGCGATATTGCCATTGACTATAACGTGCATTCACTTCCGGGTTTATTGTGCGACGAACGCCAACCATACTAGTCAATCGCACATGTCGCGGAGACAGCGTAGCTCAAGCTGCAAGTCGCGGATTGGCTTAGCAGCATGCGTACGATATGCATACGCTTGCATATCGCGCGATACAGCTGTTTGGCTAAATTTAGCAAAACAACATCACTCTGCGTGGACGTCTTTTTCGACGATTTTGACCAAAATGATATGAATATACCAGCGTGTTGGAGGGGCTGTAACTTTTGATAGAAACATCGGTGAGACTTGAAATTTGAAATGTATTATTCTGATAACATTTTTTATTCAAATATCAAACAAAAATGGTGAAAAACGATCCCAAATTGAAAATTGAAAAATCGTTCAGACACCCTACTAAGTGTCTTGAGACTTGATCTTGCACGTACGAATGAATGTTGATGACGTCATTTGTTTTGGTCGCTTATCGAGCTAGATCAGCTGACTGCGGCAATCAGTCATACTACTCAAGGTTCAAGGTTCATTTTATTTCTTTCTTTCACAACAATTTTTACATATAATAATAGAACAAAAAACAGCATAAGAAAAAACAATTTAAGTGCAATTTTAAGTCGATATATAATCCAAATGAAAGAAAGTGGAGACCTTAGAAAAGCTGGGCTTGTAAGAGCAATTAAGGTCCCCATATAAAATAATCCATCAATGTTTCACTTTTAACAAATGTTTCAAAGTTATCAAAACTACACATGATTAAATATGGGGGAAATATTTACAAAAGGGATAGCTTGAAATTTGAAAAGGAGAGGATGAAAATATAAACAAAGGAATCGAGAGGAAAAAAGCAAACTGGAACGAGAAAAACAACAGAACAGAGAAAAACAGAGAAAGAAGAAAGTTATATGTATAGGGGAAAATGATATTTGGTGTAAAGAAAAAGAAAAGTAGAAGAGAGGAGGGGGTGGGGGGGGGGGGGGGGGGGGAGAGAAAGAATGTGAAATGCTGACATTTATATTGAATAATCAAACATAACAAAAACAAAAAGATAATGCACGTTATCAATAACAATTGACAAATTATTACCTAATATCTTTTCTGGTGATATATTGTAACGTTAATTGTCGACATAGTTACTCAATAAATGTAATTTCAATTTGCGTTTAAAAACAAAGACACTGACAGATCTAGTTACATTGATAGGAAGCGTCTTCAGAGCAAAAGCAGTTCTTACACGTGGAATATGAAGTGCAGTTGCCTGCCTTGTATTATAGCTATGAATTTGATTGTTCTTTCGAAATATTTGTACTAACGCATTTGGGAGAGTACCATTTTCAAAACCATACATAATTGCGCCTAACTGTATAAGGTAAAAGTCTTCAACCTTCAAGAGCTTATTACTGTAGAACAAAACATTAGTATGAGCACGATAGCTCGCATTAAAAACAACTCTAACCACTCTAACAACTCTAGATACTGTAAGAAAATCATTTAACAGCGCTCGAGAACCTGCACGGCCGAGAAAATTTGCACCCCTCCCCTTGAGCGCCCCAAAAGCTTAAAATCACGTGTTTTTACATGTTTTTTCCCCGGGGGGGGGGGGGATCTGCCACTGACAGGGGGTTACATTGAGCAGTGTTCCGGATTTAGGGGGTCTCCATGCAAGGCATGAAAAGCCAGCGAAAGGGGGGTTTAGAAATGTTGGCAGCCCTGAGATAGAGGGGTGATTTCACAGGGAGGGAATATGCATACGTGTTACCTAAATAACACTAGCTGAGGGGGGGGGGGGGGGCACCAACCCTTGGCAGTCGTACGTGCGTAACAATGTTAGCACTTATCGGAGACTAAAGTAGGCTCTGTCGCCTACAGCCGCTCTGATTTGACCATGGGTCCATGATATGACACAGCCAGAGACTGACAAATATGGCTCGGCTGAAATCTTTAGGAATTTTAGAAAATTGTGAAATTAGATTACGTGCTTGCAGATTGACTACACGATGGTCCACCCGCTCCCATAGATCGAAAAAGAAGAAATAAAAGGAACCCTTCCCTTTTCGGGCTTTGTAAATGAGCATACTGTCCCGGCATATTGTAGGGCAGGCCTGTCATTTTATTTTCCGAGGGAGATTGGTCCCCCCCCCCCCCCCACTCAGCTACATGTATATTTAGGGAATACGTTTGCATGTTCCCTCCCTCCCTGATGCCTGTGGCCCTCAATGAATGAGCCCATTCTGTGCCGATACAGGTATACTCTCATCATCCCTATCAGTAAAAATATTAAAGATGATGATGATGATGACGCCCGGTGATGACGATGATAACAATTAGTTCTAGGACACCTACCCCCTGGACATCCACCTCCCCGGATAACCTCCCCGGAAAACCTCCCCTAGTCAACCACCCTCTAGGCCGACTACCCCCTGGTACAACTACCCCCGGACAACTACCCCTCAGTAAACTACCCCTAGGACTACCCCCTAGGACAACTCCCCGGACAACTACCCCCGGACAACAACCCCCGGGCAACTACCCCCGGACAACTACCACCCGGACAACTGCCCCCAGACAACTACCCCCTACGACAACCATCCTCTAGGACAACTACCCCCGGACAACTATCCTAGGGGGCAGTTGTCCTGGGGTAGTTTTCCGGGGGGTAGTTGTCCTAGGGGGTAGTCGTCCGGGGGTAGTCGTCCTAGAGGGTGGTTGCCCTAGGGGGTAGTTGTCCTATAGGGGCAGTTGTCCTAGGGGGCAGTTGACTGCGGGTGGTTATCCGAGGGTGAATGTCCAGGGGGGTAGGAGTCCGGATACGGATAACAATGACAATAACATAATTAATAAATGAGATTTGTAAGTGCTCAAAGCTGATTTAAAAAAAAATCGATGTAAGTTTTTTATGGAATAGTTGAAAAGGGGTAGCTTAATTAGGTCCATGATAACAAAAAGCGCATGAAATCAATAAAATGACTGGTATATACGACATTGAGTTAGTTTGACTTTTTCATTATTTAGCTCTTTATTTTTATAATTCTCAGCAATAATGATACGACACATTACCTTACTGCTTACCACCAACTTCCGTTACACAACACAACGAAAAGTTCAACCAGACGTAAATAATATTATTCAAGGCATGCATATAACTAATCATAATAATGCAAGATTACCGTATGTTTGTGGCTTTAAAATCAGACCATATACTACGGTCTTAAAATTCATCGTTAATTATAATGTCCTTAACCTTTTGTTAACGGAAACCGGCTGGCCGCCGGTTGGATCCTGCATTAAGACCTATGTAATTGAAAGAACAGACAACGATAAGAAGAACTGAAAACTTGTGAATACTTACTGTATACAAAAGGGAATAATATTTTGAGAAAAAATATGGGGCATTCATTTGTATCTTGGGAGAAAAAGGCAGAAGGAATCAACGAATAGAAGGAAAATAATCACAGAAACTGTATTTTGCTTTGTCTTTTTTTTTTCTGAGCAGAAACAGTTTTCCAAAATCCTTTTTGCAGATTCTTCTTCATTTTTCATGGAAGTTGTATGTTATTTGCCATTTTAGTATAAATTAGCATGCAGTCCTATCAACGACATATACAATAGCCGATTGCAATGTCGGGCAAGCTTCTAGCAAGCCTTCTGACAATTAGGCCTAATGCCTGTTATGATATTCAAACATCTGTAATTTTCGTACCAATCTCTCCGAAGAGGTACACAAATTATGTATGCTCTCTTCAAACCGAACACCGAACGACAGAGAAACTGTATTTTCAGCGAAAATCTGTTCGACTGATTTTCAATAGACGCTATTTTTAGAATCAACGGTCTCTACTCTACTCAAGCTTATCATGAATATCAAAATAATCTTCCTTCTCTATTACATAGCCTAACATTTTGCTATTGTAATAGACATTATGATAAATATACACACCTCGTGAAAGAAATATACAAAGTTACATAGCATACGTATTTGTTGTTAAAAAACATACTGAAGCAGGAATACTGAAACAAATAAAACTGCAAAATAATAATGGCAAGGTGTTAAGATATCACTTTTTGATAGCACATTGAATAGTTTTATAACGAGAATAAATTCACAATGGAGGACACAACCGTGATGCGTATTCTACACGATAAGTATATAATTCTTTACAAAATAGACTAACTCAGAGGGCGATATAATTTGTTGCCCTTTTCAAACATTGCTTCAGATTTAACTAATATTATTCCTCATAATTCCATTCTGGAAGAAAATCAATCTACGAATTCGGAACTATAAATAGTAAATAACAAAAACGTTACTTATAGAGCGCTTACCGCCGAAGTCATTAAGCGCTATAACAAACAAAACAGACTGATTAACAATTACATATTAAACAAAACAAAACAGTGAAAATAAACCTACAAATTACAATACATATGAAATACACATTAATGTGAACAGAATAAGTTAATCATCAAAAGCAATCTTGAATAAATGTGTCTTAAGACAAGTTTTTTCACGCCAGTTCTTTAAATCTCCATTTACATTGATTTATTTCTATGCTCTACAGGACAGGTGTGGTAAAAAACATACAAAAAACAAAACAATACAAGGTAAAACAAAACAAACCTCTAGCCTGTTATAAAATGTTTGCATATTAAATAATCTGCATAAACGTATATGAATCTTCGATGTATGAGACATTGTTTAATGACAATTTGAGGATCTCGGCAAGTTTTCAGTACTATATTTTACAGGAAAGAATATTGAAATATATAAAATAATCTTTGCAATTTTTTTTTGACTGAAAACTGTTAAGCATAATCTTGAATACGTCACAATTTGCCCCCCCCCCCCCATTTACTGATTCATATTTTAATTAGTTTTGATTTAACAATTTTATTATCAAACATACCATATTCGCCATATACATTCTCCACATCAGGCCAACAGTAACAAATAATTTACATACTAGATAAACAAATACCACAAAAACATATTTTCAATAAATAGTTTTTTGACCTGAAGTCAATAAAATCGTGAAGCGAATTATTCTCAAACACTTTCACTACAACGATGCAAGGTTGAATATTCATACACATAATATATAACATATTATAGGAGCACATCCTAGCAGGTTTTATGATTTTCTTTTTAAATTTGATTCCATTCATCAGAGTTATCGTATACGATTAGCGTGTGTCCTTAACGGACAGAGGAGAAGCACAGGGATGTGAATTTTCATCTTGCTTTAAAGCCCCTCTGCACTAGTTTGGCCAGGAGGGATTAGAAATCCCTGCATGGTCACCGACAGATGATTATCTCATCAAATCAGCTCTCAATTAACATAGGAAAAAGGGAATCATGAGGGACCAATGGTCATCGATTAGGCATTGTTTGCTGTAGAGGGCGCTGTAAGTAGTGCAGTGGGGGTTAAGACTTTGCCATTTTGTCATCATAAGATAAGGCATCTTTTCCCGAAATGTCTTTTTCGACCCAGTAGTTGTAAGTGGGTACTAGCTAGGAAGGAATCACTTTACTTCACAAAGATGCATGGGCAAAGCTAGGATAATAACAAGATCGGAGAGTAAGAAGCAGCACTCTGTGACGGTCATGATCGTTTTGACCGTTACACACGACACGTCATCTGCCTGACATAATGATGCGTCAGCCACTGGCGCAATGCTGCGTCAGCGACTGGCGCGGCCTTAGATGCGTCATACGAGTGTGACAGTGCACACAACTTGAATCCAAAAAGAAAATTGAATTACTGGTGCATGTCCGTTACAGGAATTACGAGCGCATGACGACTTAATTGCGCTTGAAATCGAAATTACGTGTCGTGTGCAACGCGCTCATACAACATTCTGCTTTAATCAGTACTAAAATACTATTGTTGAATACAAAGAAAGTAACTGTTCTGCACCGAAATTCTGCGAAACCAACCGATATAACTATATACTTGAACGTCATCAAAAACAGTACATTATAGCAAACACCGCCACCTAAACCACTATTCTAGATATGAACATAATTATCTCTGTATATGATTTCTAAACATAACTAAATACTATACAGTGACTGTACTGCGAGACAACAAAATAAATAGCTGCTTTCATAGATATAATATGTTCTTAAACATTGATAAGTCTATGTGCCTCACATGGTGCACAGAAACTGTGTTATCGTCTTTTGATATTTGAACTATTGAACTGAAAAGTTAACCCATTGTGCAAGGTTTTACCAGAAAGGGTTAGCGCCACAGCATACCTTACACCCTAACGAGAGTAATTTGAATGACATTGCAGGAGGAAAGAAATATCGAATTTTAATGTTAAATTGCATCACATTTAGGTACCAAATGGTCATATCAATAATAACATTAACATTCAGGGTATTCTAAGCCTAATCGGCTCTCTAGTTGGTTGCTAAATATGCGAATTGTATGATGATTCACAGCCCGCGGCGATTGGGTCTTTTTATTAACCCGAAGGTTCTCAACACCCTAACTATAATGACATACCAATTTTAACCTCGACCAGGAAGAGTTAACATTTTTAAGGTTTCGAATTTCTACAATCTAATCCTTACTCAATTTCTTTCAAAATCCTGTCGTCCAAGTCAGATCGTAAGGTATGCCACGGTCCTTCAATAATTTCCGTTTTGAACGCAGTATTTGTATTGCCCTTAGCAGACGGGGCGTCATTTGGACTGACGCAAAGCTGCGTCTCTGACGGAAGCGGTCTTAGATGTGCCATGTGAGAATGACATTTTCCAAAAGTATGTTTGCGAAATGAAGAGCAATTAACGGAGAAAGGGCTAATAAACTATTTTCAGTATTCAAATTTACAGGTTTACCTTGCTACGATTTATTACATTCACTTGGTTTATATTACTGTATCAAAATAAAACCTAACACGCATTTTGTACGCAAATTGCATTCTGACTGTTGAAATACAACTTATTTTAAAGGTGAATGAAATAGTTCGTAACGAGGCCCTTTACACAGACGTTTGTTTACATTATGATAATGGCCTATTGTCTTTACAAGGGCTGATTAGCGCAGGTAATAACGTAGTCTTGCGTCAGTCGAATGACGCCTTGTGTACAGTGGGCATGGGAGAAGACGATGATCATTTATCTACTTCGCCTCTTCGGCTTCGGGCACGGTGTCGGTCGACTGGAACTGTCTCATCGCCGCCGACGAGGCGAGCGGCATCGTCTCCTCGTTCTGCTGCTGTTCACGGACGTACTTCGGGTTGGTGACGAGGAAGCCGACGATGAGGGCGAACATCAAGATGAAGAAGGCCAAAAAGTTGCCCACATAGGCTCCGTCAGGACGCGAGGCGTACTTCGGGGCATCGCCAGTGCCAGAGCTGAAAAAACAAAGACCATTATAATGACATTATAACGTTGCGAACAACAGAGAGCTTAAAAAACTACATTCAGTGTAACGCATAAGCGTTACCAAGATTGTTTGTGTTCGGGCAAGGGGCAGATGGCAAATATCTGATGTCGTTTTAATCATAACCTATACACTATTCCGCTCGGGAGTGCAGGGTCCATGTATCAGATAACTTACAAATACAGTGTTAAAAAATAATAAAGCATTAAGATGTAGCATCATATCATTTGCAATTTAGAAAGTTTCCCTTTTCAAGAGCAAGACTTGGAACACCAGGATTTTTTCGCTGCTGTTACAAGATAGTGATTTCATTCCATCAATTCTCTAAAAATTCTCCAGGTGCTTTTTTGGTCAAAATTTTGATCGGAGAGAGAGAGAGGGGGGGGGGGGCACATAAACAAATTTATGTTCATTCGAAGTCGGACCTTATGAGATCGTATTGTGAGCTTTATAATCACTTTAAACTTGCCCCCGATACTTACTACAAGAAAAACAATTTCTCATTAATTCCAATTAGAGCAGCTGCGACAGCGGTGGCAAAGATGGCGACTCCAAAGTAGCGATGGATAGGAAGATATGAGGCACGAAACTCCTCTCGTAGTTTCGGAAAAAAGAACGAGACAAAGCCCACGATCCACTGCGGAAGATCAAAAGGAAATTGGTTATATAGCAACATAGGCATATGAGGTAGGGTTCGTAGTGGAGAGGGGGTAGCGACCTAAGAATTATGGAACTACCAATATTCGATCAACTGTTCCCATTAGGCAAAGAAGTGGAAATAAACGGATCATGGATTTTGTATAAGAAGAGGAGACACAACTTTGAAAATAGCCTGTGAAAAAAAGCCTGTCACATTGCTAAGGTGCCAATTTCTCGAAAAATCTTTGACATGCATTAAGACAAAAATAATAGATCATAAACAAGCGGGAACATGTCATATTATTAAGATGCATTTTGAGGGTCTAACATTTGAGAGAGGAAGAGGAAGAGTCAGAAACAACTCATACGGGTATATATTTTCTGTACAAAAAAAACTAGAGAATCCTAATTTTTTTTTTACGTCACCATTTGATTTCAATCACTTCTTTGTTCTGATTTTGATTTCAATTTATGTTTTAATTTAGGGCACCACGGCTCCACCAATATTTGCAACTTAGGCCCCCCCCCCCCCCCAAAAAAAAAACAACATGTTTAGCGTCCTGTTTTTTCGAAAAATAGGAAGGAGGAGGCCCTTTATTTTTTTCCTTCAAAATTGCCGCTTAAAATGGCCGCTCGGTACATTTTCCCCGACAGTCCGGCTATTTTTCAAGATGGGCGCCGACATTTTTTTTTTTTTTTAAATAAAATCAGAAATGGATCCATTTTAGCAGTGTTTTTTCATGTTTTTTTTCTTTAAACAAAAATTTCAAAACAAAATAAAAAAATAAAAAGTTAAAAAAAGTTTTTAAAAAATTCAAAAAAAGAAAAGAAATAGGAGGCGGCCCCCCAAAAAGAAGTGGGCGGGGATGCTTAAAATGTATATTTTGTTAAGTGGCCTTACCTGAAACGCGAAGAGTACGAAAGCTGTTAGTCCCACCCAGCTATGCAGTGAGTAAAGATGCGGGAATCCCATGGTGGTATGGAATGTGAAGACAGCTTTGAGAGCTATACAGCCGCATATCAGAGCAAGAGCTTGCATCAAAAGATGGATTACCTTGACGGCAGTCTTGTTTTCGGTCCGCAAGATGCGGAACATCAATATTGCTGCGTAGTAAAGAGATACATTTACAATACTTGATTTAATGGACCTCCAGGAACAACAGTTTTCTTATCTATAGCTTTGAATATGATTAAACATCCTCTTATATTTATGTGACATTTATTTTTTATTATGCATTTATTTATGTTAAACAACATGGCACGTCGAAGACCACAACACTCCTGACCAAGTCCAGCGTCAACAAAATGCCGTCTCGTTGCAACAGACAATAAGTCCGTACGTTGCACGAAGTCCAAGGCGTCAGTATACTTGTGTTTGACGTAGTGCGTTAACGACTGACGCAGTATTTGTCGCATCGTGTGGAAATGATAATGGTACATGAAATGAATGCCATGAACACTTGCAAACATTGCGTTAAATTAGTGGTGTATTGAGTAAATTGGCTTAAATAGCAGGTATACAACAAAATGGAAATGACGCCTCATGTGGAATGCAATAGGTATAATATTTGATAATAATCATTTTGCTTGTAAGTGTCGGCTTGCATGGTGATGTAGATATAGAGTAGGCTTGCGGGTGCACCATGTGAGAGAGAGGATTGAGGAGTCCTGAAAAGGACTCTCGGTATTTTTCTTGAGGGTTTGTAGTCCTGAAAAGGAGCTCCCGCTACTCATTCTCTCCAAGCGCTATAGTTCTCCTTAGAACTATAAGCTAAGAAAGATAACCAACAGTCTTTTTCAAGACTATACCAAACAGTCCTTTTCAGGACTCCTCAATCCTCCCCTCTCTCACATGGTGCACCCGCAAGCCTACTGTATAATAATCATTTTGTTTACCCAGGGAAGCCTCATCAGCTTCAATGCTGTTCTTCCGGAGCACCCTGCAATAATTACTATCTCAGCAATACTCTTTTGTCATTCTGTCATTCACTAGTACTCACCATCTCCGTAAAGAAAGACAAAGCCGAGAATCATGAGCAGAGGGTGGAGGTTAAACTCCTTGGCCGTTCGAACCCTCAACTCTTGGATTGAGAGTCGGATGAACGAACCACTACACCATGACAAGTGTCATTCACTAGTACTCACCATCTCCGTAGAGAAAGACAAAGCCGAGAATCATGAGCAGAGGGTGGAGGTTAAACTCCTTGGCCGTTCGAACCCACAACTCTTGGATTAAGAGTCAGATGAACGAACCACTATACCACGACAAATGTTATTCACTACTTACCATCACCGTAGAGGAATACAAAGCCGAGAATCATGAGTAGAGGGTGGAGGTTAAACTCCTTGGCCGTTCGAACCCACAACTCTTGGATTAAGAGTCAGATGAACGAACCACTATACCACGTCGTCATTTAGTACTCACCATCTCCGTAGAGGAATACAAAGCCGAGAATCATGAGCAGAGGGTGGAGGTTAAACTCCTTGGCCGTTCCATCCCAGGCGAACCCGCCCAGGGTGTGGCCGGTCCAGAAACCCGCTAGGATGAGGATGAGGACAGCTAGGGCTTGGGAGATACCCAGGAGGAGATAGAAGCAAAACATGGTGATGGGCGTGGCTGGAGAAGGGTGGTGGGCGTGGCTGGATGGTGACGGTGGGCGGAACCAAGAAGGTGGGAGCTCGGTTTATAGTGGCGCTGTTCACTTACTTCTTTCCGTTATCTGCATAAAAGAAGAGATGATAGTGAAATAAATCTTATTCTGACGTCAAAGATATGAATAGTATGAAAGGAGTGTCCTGTTATATTTCAATACGTAATTCCCCTTTTCCACTCAATAGGGGCATTCCACTAATATCCTGCTTAACATTTGAATTAATCATGCCTCCTTCTCTTGTAATTTGTATAGCATTCCAGTGTGGCATCCAGAGTTGGCAACTGTGAAAACGGAACGATTCCAACCGACCCTTTTGTATGGGGGGGAGGGGGGGGGGGGGGGGTGGTGGGGCGGATTTACCAGGAATTTTTAGTGCCTCTCTCCCTCTTTTTTAAAATGCCCTCCTATCATGACCCCCGTTCACTCCACACTTTTGGTCTTTTTCGGATCTGTAGTCCATTATGCCACTTAATATTTGATGGCATTGCATGGACTAACCAATAAAGGCAAAGGCATTTTGTTGAATGTGTGGGGAGGTGGGGGGGGGGGGGGGCACTGGTGTTATTCGATTAATCAGAATAACGGACGGAGAGGGGGGCACGTTTTCCCTGAATCTATATAAGATAAAGTTAAATAATTCATGATCATATCAGACAATGCAAAACGAAGCATGTACGTATAAAACGGACACAGGAAGCCCGACATAATTATACTTCGCCATGCTCTCATTACGATATGCATGCCATGTATTACCGGAACGTAGTGCCGCATCTCGTAAGACACAGAGCAGACGTTAATCCCGATCATTATCATATCATATCGCTGAGAGGGTCTTGGCGGGCTTAGATCAGTATTCAAAGAATTCATCTCGCATGATTAGATATCTCCATCGAGAAATGAAATGACGGGTAAAGGATAGACCTGAGATAAGTCACTTAACATACCACGTTAACCCTTTCGAGGCAGTTAGGGGCACATGACATCAAAATACAAGTGTATTCCTGTTGGTGTGCAGTCCTGCATACATCTCATATTTTGATATGTAAACTTCTGACTTTGTTTCATAGATTTTTAAATATTTTTAAAATATTTGTTTTTCAAACTTGCTAAGCCCCACACCAAAAACCTCCAGATCTCATTCCCCTTGTGACATCATCTGTCATTCATCAATGAGCTAACTTGAGAAAGTGGTATGTATCTTTGCCGAAGTCGAACACCTGTTACAATACGTAATACAATAGCAACATACAAGTTGCTATGTCAGACATGCTGTAGCATCACCAGGAAGACAAAGGCAACGATGATGTATTGTACATTGTAAAATTTCAAGTTTACATATCAAAATATGAGATGTACGCAGGACTGGACACCAACAGGAATACACATGTATTTCGATGTCATGTGCCCTTTAATACTCCATAATGTTTGGTTTAGCTCAATAACTGTTGATTCGTAGCTCTACCAACTAAACATGTATAGCGGATGCACGAGTAGAAAGAGCAAATGTTTCTGCACATTTTGTGTCTTATTCCAGAAATTAAAGGTAATATAGGCCAAAGCTGTAAGCTTAATTTCTTAAATGGGTAACACATAAAGATCTTTCTAAATCTTTCATTTGTTCAACTTTTGACAAAGTTATTACCCATGTGTATTGTTTTCGGAGACATTACATTTTATTAGAACAGTGTATTACTAAAAACGAAATTATTGTTGCCAATATGACTAACGATATGTGATAAATTTAGCACTTTAAAAATCCCTGTCCTGAAAGATCCAGAGATCAGTGGCCCAGACATATTGGATTTTCTAGACCCCCCCCCCCCATCCACACCCGTTATTAGACGCACATGGGAACGTCAGGAGGGGATGGTCATGCTGCAACACCCCCTGAGTATAGTCTTTGGTGCTGGGGTTCTGTGAAAATGGCCCCGGAATGTGAGAACTGTTTCATTAATTTTCTCATTTGCTATTTTTGACGTAAAAGGGCATCCCTAATCACCATTGTTTTCCCAGTTAATACCGAGATGAATTATGAGTGCTCTTTTTCTTCCGAAGAAACAAACTGAATTCAAATATATTTTGTCATCCTCAATTTTTGTCTACAGTTAGCGTTCATAGCCTAGCATATCAGGCAAGCCTCTCACGAGTTTTTTCTCCTCAGAAGGGGATGATTTCGTCAGGATTTATGCATAAATTTAATATGCTAGCATACTAGTTAGCCCAATTAGCCTAAAATTCATTACCTCTTTCTAATAATTATGTATATGGCAGTATATTTATGGAGTGTATCTTAAAAAGGGGCACACAATATCTATCCTGAAATAAGAAATGTTTTAAACTGGTACAATCATTTAAGGGAAGCTAGGACACATGCCAAACCGCCGATTCAGACTTTATAAATTTAGCTGGTGATAAAAACAGAGAGTTATTCAAAAGTAATATAAATGCAAATCAAGCTTCAGAGATACTGAAAGGAGGATATTTTAATGACTGGAATTGTCCGACCTTGTTCATTACATTTGATGAAGAAAGAGACTAAACATGATTTATTTCTTCCGTACACTTACTGAGTGGGATTAGCCTAAATGACTAGATGATTTTTGCTCGTACTTTTAAAATACAATAAAATCTAAAAACTAAGTAGGCCTACTAAAGGCAGTGGAGGTATTTCGACTGACAAACTGGAATGACACGACAATGATCACTGATACGACTGGTTAGAATTCAAGAAAGTAGAACTGTAGTAGGACAAAATGGCGTCATTGATAGTGGAGCAGCATTATGGAACAATTTTATTAATAATTCGCTTTACAGAATGAAAAAGGAAGAAACAAAAACTGCTTGCGACTTGCATGATCAAAGCATTATCACGGGCGTATATAAATAAAACCATAATTACAAAGAAACTAATCATTCTAATTGTTGGCGTGAGAGTGAGTTCTCAGTTGACAATTACAACAAAAAAAAACTCTTTGCATTTTCCTGGATGGGTAAGTGTGTTGGTGTGTTGGTGTGTGTGTGTGTGTGCGTGTGTGTGTGTGTGTGTGTGTGTGTGTAAGGGGGAGGGGTCACATCCATGTCAAGCAAATATGAACAGACTCGTACCCCTTTCATGGTGAAGGGCCACCTCTGGCCATTTTTACTTCTGTAGTATCGTGCCGTTGCTATGGACATTTTTTTAATAATCACCTTTAATCACATTTTGATGTAAATGCACGGTGTTAATTTACAAGATCGTTCCACTGAGTGTAATTTGATAATTCATTTACAAAATGGGCAAATGCTTTTAAAATTTATATTGTATTTTCTTCGTTGAAAAAAAAACCCAGCCACGGATTAATACCATACATAATCATAAAAGACTGTACAAGTGCATCACTCAAAGAAAGTTGTACCAATTAGTCAATTACACACAATGTTATATTTCCCAAAATGAAGAAGTAAGAATGTCGTAATGCCCATAAATGGTTAGAATATGAGGGAACGTAACGAAAAACACAACTTGTAATGATGTAGATTCCTCATGAAATAATTCATATGTTTGTCGTGAATATTACACTAAACGCCATTACGTGTAACCTTGAAAGGCGTTCTTTAAAGGCACACTGCCATACTTGTAGCTACTTGCTCCCTCTATATAGAAAACTTCCCCAATCGGTGCCTGTTGGTCCCCCATGATCCTCTTTTTCTTATGTTAAATGAGAGCTGAGTTAATGAAATAGCCACCTGTCACAGTGACCTCGACGGCTCGCTGTGTGGTCTAATCCCTTCTTGCCCAGTAGTGGTGACGGTCTTTAAGAAAAAAAAAGATGTCTGGCTCTTTGGGCTTGTTGAAAGTGATTACCATCAAATTTGCTGGTAATTTAACCGCGTCAGATTACAATCAAGCACTTCACGAGTCACCTGAATATCTTTCGATTTTGAAAGTACTATCACGTTCAGTATCCTAATATCCATCCTCTTGATATACAAATTCTAACAAAACGAGTTTTTCGTTCAAGAAAAAAATGCGAGTCTTTTCACTGACAGCGATTATTAGTTTTTACTACTGAAGACAATTTAAATCACTGTATATCACAAAAATCTCATAAGTATAGCCCCCTACAAATTAGGTTAAAAGGAGATACATGGTTGGGGGGGGGGGTGATGGTTCTTTATCTTACTCCGCTAAGGGCGGCGCTAAAGTGGCAGAAATTTAAAATCCAATGAGAGAGGCTCTCTCATTTTCAGAAGAATAAATCATGGGGGGGAGGGGGTGATATAAGTGTTGCAATCGGCTGGAATTCCAAATTCGTTTATATTCAAGGGGGGAACTGTTTCCGTCGAGACTCCCTCTCCCTCCCCCATGCAACCCATCCAGGATAAGCCCCTGTCTTTAAACATGGTCATTATCATTATTACAAGCAGACTAATATGTAAATAATATGTCAAACTTATCTTTTGGAGACACCATGACTCAGAGTGGATATTGTGTAAACATTAGCCCAGCACGAGGGTAATGAATGTGTGCGACCAAATGTTGACATAAAAATATATATAAAAATTGGGGTAATATATTTTTCAGACCCAAGCTGGGTATAAATGATGCTTTAAGGTAATTGGTTGGACACATCATTAACCTCTTGGCAATTTTATCTAGTATATACAATCATTATATGGCATAATAATAAGAATATCTTTTGAGTAGTACCGTTTATATCATATTGTTATAGCATGACCAAATGACCAACGTAGCATGATAGTGAATTCTGCTTTCCATATGCTTATACTGATAACCTGTAAAATGATACACGACTGAGATCATCAGAAGCATTCAAATCATGAGACATACTTATTTATGATACAATACACATAGACCGTAAACTTATTAATCAATGTAAGAAGTCACTGCATTTCAGAAAATAGCTTACCTTTTTTTGCGCGCCACATTATAGTGCATTCAGTCTCTGCTTGTTTATTTACAGGCAAGTATGCATACTTGTAATGCTGTATGTTCATTCACATAGCTGGTTCTGCATTTGTCCCGTCACTACTACACACATCAAGGGGCTTTTCATCGCGTTATG